GCATCTAACAAATAAGTAAATGAGGCTGGGAGCCAACAAGTCCTGAGTGCTAACTCTAGCTCTGACACTCTCTAACTGAATAACCTTGGGCAAATCATTTAACCTTTCTTTCTCAGTTTCCTCATCTGTAAAATGCCACTTAAAAGTCCACAGGGATTTTTCTTTTTTTCTTTCTGCTCATTCATATATATTTTCCTTTCTGTTTTGTTTGCAGATTCCTTTATATCCTATTGAGATTGTATTAAAAAAGAATGGATCTCATTAAACGTATTGCAGAGAACTGGAGATGGACAGCACCACTCCGATTGCTCCCAATTTTAGAAAATTTTAGAATCCAGATCCGGGTTTGGATCTGATTTTTGCAGCTAGTGCCTCTCTCTAGACAAACACTGATTAAATTAGTGAAGCCAGAATTCAGATTGTGAACTAGTACACTCCCATTCACAGTCTTCCTCTCTTTTTCTGATTTGTTTGTGTGTTTCTTTGTTTGTCTGTTTGTTTAGACAGGCAAAAAATGGAAGTGGTTGCAGCTGAATGAGAACTGGTGTCATACAATTTCTCACAATGCTCTTGAGGAGACTGAAATTCTTATCAGCATTTTATCCAAAAAGCAAAATTAAGAAAACATTAGGGTTACATGGTTAAGCAATCAAGAAAACAGAAAATTCCCAAGCTATCGTTGCACATACAATTTTAACTCTGCCCCCTGGGGAATATATGTTTCCACACAGACTTTAATTACATGATCACATATTGGTTCTCAAATAATACAATATAATAGCACACATTTTTTCTACATCTTTAGACACACATGCATAGAATTGTTTAGTACTGTGCACTATTATTTGTATGCCAAACAGACTTCATTAAAGTCATTTATATGGAAAATACACAAAATACTGCAGAGTAATAGTAAACAACAAATATAATCCACCTAAGTTTCCAGATAAATTGGCTTCAGAGTTCACTGGCTTATCCCCTACATTTCACCTCTCGTATGCAGGAGTGCTCAGCTCGATTTGCTAAATAATTTCTTATTCAGTTAGATTTGCTAAATAATTAACTGCTGCATGCCCTGAATTGTACCTGAGGTATGCTGTGCTGATGGATGGAAAGAAATTGTGCCGTATATGGCTAAGCACCTTATCCTGCTAGGTATTAAGCACATCCCAGGAGGCACTGAACATAATGCAGGATTGAGCCATTGTGATGGGAAACACGTATGCACCAGGGGGCAGAATTAAAAATAACCTATAGGCTGCCACTGGAGAAAAGTCAGGTATTGCTAAGACCTAATTTGCTGATGAAGTCCAGCTGGGGGAGAGGATAGGCCAGGTTTATAAAGACAGGAAGCTGGCAACAGAAAGGGGCTGCATGGAGGTAGTCTGCCATCACTCCCTGGGAGAAGGGAGGTGTTGGGGCTACAGTGCCAGGTAGCCTGCAGTTAATCCCTGGAAGGAGGGAAAACCCAGAGAGGCGAGGGAGCCAGAAAACAGAACTGAGAAGTAGAAAGATGTAGGACGGAGTCCAGGGGAAGAGCAACATGATCTGGGAGTGAACAGGCCACCATTGCTAGCGATAGGGTCCCTGGACTGGAACCTGAAGTACCGAGTTGGCCTAGGTTCCCCTACCAGCCACTGGGGAGGTGGCACTGTCAGGGAAGTGAATGAGAAGACTGCCTAAGGCCACTAGTATGTAAAGTCTTTGATACCCCAGAAGGGGAAGACTATAATGACCTGGCCGGAGTGTCAAGCCATGAAGACAGAGTCACAAGGAGTGTGAGAAAAACAACAGGGTGTGCAGCGACCAGCAGAAGGGGGTGTCAGACCTGAGTGGAGCTAATCCACAGATGCAGCCACAAGGAGGTGCCCCAGTGGTGAGTAGAGTTTCCCTGTGACAGACCTAAACTATTAAAATTCTAACCTTGGAGAGAAAAGAATGTATATAAACAGGCTAATAGTCTCATTCTCTGTTGTCTTCTAACATTTTTAAACTGATGTACCTCCCCCAACAATAGTGAAGCTACACCTGGTTTACACCAATGTGAGAGAAGAAGCAGGCCCTGTTTCATATAAAAGTATATTGATCTATTATGGCAGGGAAAATTGTTTAAGGATACAAAAATGCAATATTACAAAACACTCCATATATTCACCTAAAGTCTAGAAAAACTGTATGATATTATATCATTTGAAAAAATATGGGTGAAATCCTGTTTCTATTGAACTCAATGGGACTTTGACCATTAACTTCACTGGGGCTATGACTTCACCCTCTGTCATCATGTGTCAGATGTGTCAAAATGCATACAAAGAAGAGGACAAAATTAATGTGAAGCATGCATTTAACGTGGACACTTTATGACTTTGCATGATTTCCCATGCAATTCTAACATCCTCCTAACACTGCTTTTTAAACTGAAATGCCTAGGTCTTCTGAAATAAAATGATAGGAAAACACATACAGTAATGTGGATCTATTTGTATAAACGTTATTGAAACACTTTATCCCCCACAGTTTCTGAGGGCTGCAGGAAGGTGTCTTGTCCTGTGCAGTTAGACCTGGACTGGCACCTTGCAATGCATTTTGAACAAGGAGCTATGCACAACTGAGCTTGCCCAAGAGCAGAGCAGATTGGCATGTAACTTGAGTTTGGTCCTGTTTCCCCCTTGCTCCATAAGGGAAGTAAACTATCCCAACACAGCTTATTTCCCCCCTCCTCGAAAACTGGGGTGCAAGGCTCACCCAATCACCACTCCCACCTGTCCACTCACCAACCATTTGCATGGAGGTGGAAGCAGCAGCTCACCCATGCCTGCTCACTCTTGTGTTACAGTAGCCCATACAGAGAAGTAACTCCTTGCTTTCCTTCACTCCCCTCCATGGAAGCATAGCTAACGTCACAATCTGACCCATAGGAAGTCCACACTACAGATTGCCTCTCCTGTGAACATTATGATCTGTGCATCTTATCTTACAATATGCACAGAAAAGGGTATTTTTCAGTAAAGCATTGTCTCTTTCCCACATGCAAATGTATGCCTATATTTTCTGCATCTGCAAAATGATTTTCTGGTGCAAATATGAGTTCTGGTACCAGCAAATCATTTTGTGGATGAAAAAGAAAAATAGGCAGCATATAAATTGTACCTAGAAACAGAGAGCTCATACTGTAGTCCGACTTCTGAAAATGTTCCCCTAAATGAGGCAAGAGTGCCTTTGGAGTGCCTCTGCCTCATTCACTATGCACCTTCAATAAATACCTCACTGTACCACTAAATTAGCCATGCACGCGTAGTGTGGACTTCTTTACCTGTGCACAGTACTGCTATAATGAGACCTCCATGCAAAATGTATTAAACATGTGCAAAATGTTAATTGCAATGGATCAAATCAAAACCAACTTTCTCTAAAATATCCATAGATATTTCTCAGCTAGGACTATTTCCAAGCCAAACTTCAACTTTCTACCACCAGTCAAAAGTGGCTGAATATTTAAACAGACCTACACCTTCAGATAGAGATCAAGCTGGAACAATTTCAACCTCAAAGGCTGAAACCCATAAATGACTGAAAATAGGATATCAGAATGGAAACTCTTACATAACCTTAAATATAGCAGGCCTTTTCATAACTCCTATAATAAGAAATAACTGGAATCTGATCATCTCATCATCTCATCATCTCTGATCCTAGTAGGTCTTTATGGGCTCAATTGTGTAGGTGCTCAGCACTCTGACCCCTGCCCAGCACAGCACATGTGCATAACTTTAAGCATATGAACCGTCCCTCTTTTGATCTTTTTGGCGCTACTCATGTGGTTAAAGCACCTGGTAGGATCAAGGTGTTCTCAACTTTGCAAACACTTACAGCATAAGTAATTTGACATCACTGGGACGGATCACATAAATAATTTTTTTTTTCACATGCCCAAGTGTTTGCATCAGTAGGCTTCAAATTATTTTATTTGGACCCTGGATCTTCTTATCGACTTCTTGTAAACTTTTATAATTTTGCCAGAAATAATTATATTGTATTTTATGTTTGCTTTAATTTAGCCAAGAAACTAACTACTTTTATTAATTTGTAGATATTTCTTAATAAGAAACTAGATGGTAAAATAGGAGAAAAATGTTTCTTTCATTTAATAAACAGTTACCAGAGATATTAAATAAAACCTAAGCATTTCTCATTTGGAAAGGTACTGATGGAGCTATATTACATGCCACTACAAAACATTGACTAAGCTTAGGCCCCGCTTCACAGCTACACTCAGTATGCACTCCGTGTAGCTAAAGGGGATACAAAAGAACCATTTGGGACTCCCTGATGCTGGAGGTTGTTTTATACTGGCCCAGTGCCCCCTTTAGTGTAGCCCAGCATTTGGGTTGAGCTAAAGATTAGTGGCCAGCTATGCCCCAAAGTACCAGTATAACTGTCAAAGAAGGCCAGAGCACAGCAGCATTCCAGACACTCCCTCATTCTCCTAGCCACCACCTACAACCTGCCATTCTGCCCTTTCACCATTGTCTTCAGTGATGTAGACCCTGATCTTAAGACTGTAAGCAATATAGGGCAGAAACTGTGTTCTTTGTTTGCCTTTTTTCTTATTTCTTGTAAACGACTACGTATAGTTATGTTGCTATATAGCTATGTAACAAATCAATGTCCTATTGAATGTAATGAGCATCTATTAACTTTATTTGAATAATTAGAAATCATATTTGTGATAACAATGGTAAAATGCTTAGGTTATCCTAATTCTTTTTTTTAATAGCTACCATATATGGCTCTGGGGAAAAAAACTCTGAATGAGGAATCAAAGATACAGTGTATTGTTACTGTTTTTATGTAATTCCAACAATCTTTTTATTAAAAAAAATGTATTCCATTTGGCCTACTCCTACCAAGTCAACAGAATGACAATTCAGAGTCATACTGTAAAAATGCATCAAGAAAACAAGCATGTTCACTTTCCAAATGCTGATCAAATCCCCTACCTTTCCTACATAGAGAGGGTCTGTACCCATGTATTCCTCCAGCACAAAGAATTGATTCCACACCCAGCTGCGCTTGGTTCTCGGCCTCCCTGATTGAAAGTACGGCTTTGATCTGGACCTTGAGAGTTCAGCTTGATTCATCCCAGAAAGACACAGGAAAAGAGCTATTATCTGCAAAAAATGGCAGAACTCCACTTTGCCCAACTTCATCTTTTTTTCCCCTGTGTAAGAAAAAACCTTGATAAGAGGGTGGGCGCAATTCCAGTTGGCTCAGTAGCTCTAGCCTCCGGACTCCAGAGATAATAATTCGTGGAATGTTCGATTGGAAGAGGTCACCACTGCTGAATAGCCTTCACCAGAGAAATGGTATAATAGGTACCTATCAGAGGAAAAGACAAGAACTGTTGTCAGGAAGTTAAAAAACATACATTTGCTTTCAGCTTTCACTTGCTGCATCTTATACTTTACTAAAACTTTTCTCTTCATCATTAGTAGTATTAACAGACTTTAGCTTATACAATAATGCTTTGAAATTTTATATTGTCTTACTTTGATTATATTAATTTTACTGGTTGATCTGTATTTTAATAATAAAATCATACACAATTTTATAATTTTCTAATGAACGTTCTCTTGATTTATGCAGTTTTCCTATCACAGTCTTTTCTCTTCTCCCCCCCCCCTTCTAATTATTTTACATTTACTAGCTTTGATTTTTTTCTCCTCTCTGTTAGAGATAATTTTACTTGTTATTATTAGCACATAAGAACAAAGCATCTAACAGCAGTGATTCATACCAATGGATAGGACATATGTTGACTTAAAGTGATAGAAGGTAGTATAAGGTGACTCAGAACAACTTGATTGATTCTGAGTCACAGTACACCAGATGTTTTGATGTGTTCTGATTTGAATCTGATTACCTAAAAAGCCAGGAGTTTCCCCATTCATTTTTTTCCCATTTCAAAACCAAGTGTCAGATATGATATGAAGCATGTTACGCAACTATTTATATTTTCAAAAAGGTCAGAAAATAATTTGATTGTATATGTTCAATGCAATGTTGGTGTGAGGCTGAATGATTCTTATGTAGTAGCACAAACATTTTCTTATACTATATCTTCTCTGTTTCACTTTCAAAATTCTGGTTATTCAGGAGCTGGCAGAATTTACTAGGAAAGATGACCAACCCCAACAAAATGCCTCAAAATAGCATGGGAAATTTACCAAAACATGGATTTAAATCATTCTGATATACTCTCTGTCCTCTTGCATTTATTAAATATGTTTTGATCTATCAAATATATTTATATAATTATACTGCAAAGTGGTTATTTTCCCAAAACCTTTAACTTAAATAATTAAATAAAAATAGAGTTATTTGAGAGGGCCAAAAGTAGGTCTTACATTGCAGAGATATCATCTGACTGGTTGAACTCTATGTAAGCAATGTTTCCTTCTGCAGTAAGGATTTCTGCTCCTTATCAGGCCAATGTGTCAGGCAGTGAAGATGCATTAGAAATGTGTCAAATATAAGAGGGCAAATGAGGATGAAGTTAAAATGGTTACCAAGTACAGTAATTCATACAGAGTGAAATACTGTAATCTAGAAAGCCTTGTAAGAAAAAAAGAGTTAATCTTTTGCATGGTTTACTTAACTGAGTGGACTACCGATTACACATTAAATGTTTTAGGTAAATTTTTATATTACTAACCATCTTTATTAGAACTGAGTGAAATACAGTTTCTGATAGTTGTGCACAGTATCCAGAGGTTTTGTTTTGTTTTGTTTTTTAGCTGTGCAATTTCTATATATCTCCTAAAGGTAGCTAGAGGGCAAAAAAACCAAAACAAATAAAAAGCCCTTCTGATTACAGTCTGTATTTAATGCCTTTTTATAGTAATCCCTTATGGGTACTGCCTTGCAACAGAAAGGCTCTACTTAGAGACCGGTGGGATAAACCACAAACCCACTAAGCATGTTCACTAAGCAGCAGTAATTTGAAAGCTCCATATGTAAAGAGCTAGCGCCTTGCTACAAGCAATGAAGAAAATAAGCAACTTATTATCTCATGACCCTGATTTCTAAATGCTACAATTCTGAAGCATCTCTGGAACATGGAAGATTCCTTTTGCAGTGGGACTAACATAAAAGTGCCAGTTTCAACTAACTGGTGTATGAATTATTTATTATATGTTTGAATGATTACTTCTGAATAGCCAAAGCTCAACTTTGATGTGAGCCTTACATTAAGACAATAGTCTTATTAAAAAAAAAAACAACAACAGCAAAAATAATAGCATGAAGAATACCAGGAGAGGATTTGTTCACTGGCTGAATGACATGTTTCTCACTCCACCATTCAGTTCAGTTAAGAGATGGTTCTCCAGGGAAGTGCTGTTCACACCAGAAATTGTAAATGCACCCTCAGAGAACCAACTCAACATCTCTGTTACACCAGGTTAGCTGCAGACATCTGCTATTGATAAACTATCTGTTTATTTGAAAGAGGCAGCATACTAATATCTATCAGAGATAAAAATATGAAATGGATTTTCATTAAAAATGTCAGTAAAACATTTATAGTATGTTACAGTCTCTCTACAGAGCACTCTGAAATGTCTTGCTCTGAACAGACTTTTAAAACCTAGTATTTCTGTAACCTTTATCTTGAACATTTTCTGATCCCCGTTCTTTTACACCTGAAGGAAAGTATGGAAACCACCATATGGAGTGCCATCCTTGTGGTCCCTAGCCACACACCACAGCATGGAACTGAAAACACACCCAAAATACTAGCCAAAATACAGTCCATATTCTAGAGAACACAATCTAATAAAAAGCAGTATATACAATATTCGTACTTCAGAAGAAATCATTCCTTACCCATTGTCAAATAGTTTTATCACACTGTCTCATTGTTCCAATTACTTTTATTATTACTTTTATTCATATAAATGGCAACACACTTTTTCCAATGGATATTTTATTCCTCTTACTATTAATATGATATTTTATCTGAACTAATTATTTAGGGATTTTTTTTTTGCCCTTCCAGCATGTTTAGTATTTCAACATGATAATTCCTTTTAAAAAATCAATATCCAGTGCATAATATTCTTTGCTTCCTGGAAGAACAGACAATTATTTATTAAAATGAATTTCATTTTCTCTCTCATTCATATCTCTATGATTGCACAGATATACAATACAGTATATTCATATATATCATCTTATATTCTCTCTCTCACTGTATGTATATAGAATAATATACATATGGGGAATAACTATCTCTTCTGGATCATCTGCAGCATCTATACGGAATATCATCCTTTTGATGGAGCCAAAAGGTAAACTGCAAGGCGTTTTTCCTACCTAGGCATAAATGTAGGGTTCTGTGCTTCACTTGAAGCAACCAACATTGAAAGCACTGTATGGAATGCAGCTCTGGCCTCTGATTTAAGTGTCATTTGCGTCATCTGCTGTTGAAGGACTAGGTACCAAGTGAAGGAGAAACTGATTCTCAATTATTGTCTATCTTGTTTTAAAATGTTCTTGTTTTGAATAAGGTTGTTCACACAGCATTCCGGGTGCAAATGATTGAGGGAGACATTATATGCAGATGCAACTGATGTAAGTTAAACATCTAAGTACCTAATTACACCTTTAAAAAGGTACAGTAGTCAGACATCCAAATGATATAGGTTGTGTCCACAAGTTTGGGGTGCAAATGTGTGTCCTCAAATTGTGGGTGCAGAAAAGGAGGTCAGTTTTTAAATGTCAGTGTGTGAAAGAATTTGGGATTGTATATGTTTTTAAGTCACTCCAGTTCACTTTCAGGAAGAGCTCAGCTTTGTAATTTACTTTGTGCAAAGCTCCCTGGTCTGCCAAAAGTGCCAAACATCAGTAAGAACAATCAAACTGTAATTCAAGGGATAAGATCTGTAATCTAAGGAAGTATATTCTGTGACCAGGATCTTTAATATTTCTGTTGGCTACTGCATATCTCAAAACGGCTGAAATATGTGTGTTATGGAATGAGCCCGAAGAATCAGAAAAATCCATAAGGAGTGACCACTGAACATTTACGGTATATTTTTTGTGTTCTCACACAGACATTTAGCTAGCTGATCTGTAAAACATCATGGCATAAAAAAATCACAAGTCTAAAGGAATCTTGCTACTGAGAAGATTTTAACTGCATTTGAACTAAACTTGACAAGTAAAGGAGTTTCAGTGAACACTTTTAAACTGAGAAATGATATGCTTTTATTTTGCCAGCACAATCTGATGGTGTCAGAATGAATATTGTACATTGTTTCAGAAGGGCAATCCTGACTGTAAGAAAAGAACCAGACCATGGGTCCTTAATGTTATAAACTGGCAAAGCCCATTAATTTCAAAGCAACAAGGCCAATTTTAACCAGCTGAAGATCTGGCCCAATATTTTGTTTCAGTTGCTAATGTCTGTACCAGTAATGAAACTTGTTCTTGTTGTTTGTGGTTAGGGGTGAGCCTACTTCTTCCCCTCACCTTTTCTAGATATCCAGGTGTAAGTTCTTCCTTTGCCTGCTTTCCCCAAGCTTCCAGGCCATTCAATAGAAGATCCTCAGTTCCTCCCACCACCTCCTCTGTTTTACGGAGAAAATCTATCTCATTATTTTCATAGGCCTCCACTCACACATTGCTACTACTGTCTCATTGCCAGTTTAGTCCATGAACCATGTTACTCCTCCTATCCCACCTATTCAGCCCCACCCTAACTTCCTTGCCTTTCATACCCCAATACATGTGGTCAAATACTTCTAGGCTGGGAAATGATAGTCTGAAAGTTTTTCTAATCCTACATTTCTTCACACGACAGTGTAATACTCTGTTGTGAAGTCTCCCAGCCAGCTCATGACAATTTTTTAAGAGTGTAACTGAAGAATTTTACCGCTTCTAATCCCTTTTCCTTCCCCACATCTGTTATCCTTTCTTTAAATGGCTTTAACTTCTCAATACCATGGCAATACACAGAGGTTAACCCTGATCTTCACTGTCTCCGGAAATATCCCTGAAGTGGGACCAAGACAATAATATCCAGTAAATGATGCCCCAGATGGGTCAATAGTGCAAAGTTATCCCTTAATTTTCTCACTACAGGTCAGTCACTCAATAAAGTAACACCCTCTGTGCTGAGATAATTCTAGAATTGACTATTGCCACTGGAACTTGAACCATGATCCCTTGAACATAGTGGAATCAGCAGGTTAGCCCCTTGATAGCTGAGCTACTACAACTGAAATATTTATGTTTTGGCATTCTATTTTACAATGCCAGTTGGAAATGGTATCATTTTCTGTGCAAAATAAAATTCCCCTTTTAGTGACTGCAGGCTCTAAAGAGTGTCATACATGGCTTTGCTATCAGAGGTGTCTCTTTTACATTAAATAACATCAAATCCATGCTTGTTTAGACAACTATGGGTGAAGATATGAGAACAAATCTAGATAATTTTAGTATAGATTGCAACTGCTGGCTTTACCTTTCTTCTCAAAAAAAAAGAGCTCCTTTGAGCAAGTGAGGGTCTACAAGTCAAGCCAGCATGATCAAACCCATTAACTCCCTGTGCCAGATGACATTACAACTACAGACCACAACCTCCTGCCGCTAACTGGCCTAAATATTCACATGGGAGCACTGTAAATGGAGTGCACATCCTGTAGTCTGCATCTGGTTATCAAGCAAAAAACTAACACTACTCTAAACATATGGCACTGTTATACAAAACTAGCTCCAGTACCCTCTGACTCAGGTGAAAGGATTTGGCAAGACAACAGAAAAACAACAGGCAGACTTTAATAAATAACAGTCTTTCAAAATGTACACAGAAAGCAAAGTGATTGTTATTCAGTCTTCCATGGTATTCTGGAGTTGATTATGTGACATTATATGGCTGAAATGCTATTTTTAAAGTATACTTTTAAAAAGTCTGTCATTTTCTCCATAGGAAAGTTCTTTGTAGCCTCCCTATATTAAATTGTTGTTGAAAAGGATCATGCTAACTTGATCAGTTATGTAGATATCTGAAAATAAATATTTAACAGTATTTTTACAGTTGTGAATATACAGCACAAATAGTAAAATTTCAGCAATGGTCTTAGTTTGATTTTTGCATTCTAAGTTAGTTTGTAGAATTTCATACAATACCTAGGGAAAGAAATTACTTTGTGGTATTTCCCTGTAGAACCACTAAATCCCCAGAGGAGGCACTCCTGTATTACTGCTTATGGTTAAGCATGGTGTTACAGACAGGGATTGAGGGAATCATCACATATCTTATGCACCCTCCCTCAGCTAGAATTAACTGATCCTTTATTGCCACTTGAAAGTAATACCCATTAGTGACATGAAAGCAGACATAAACAAATTGTGTGTGATCATCTAAGACAAATTAGACGGCTAAGAAGTTGGATCCATTGAAAATGGTATCAGAATATCAGGTTTAGAAATAGCCAATGAAATGCAAAATGAAAACTTATTAGCCAACACCGCACTCATGAACTAGCTCCTAAGTAGCAAATTTAGCCCCAAATCACTTCAAGTTGAAAATACCCAACTTACAATTTTCTATGCACAGAGGATGCAATTTGTGTGTTGAGAAGCCTTAGCAATGTTTGTTTAATAAATAAGGACTTTGGCTCAGGGTAAAGTAACATGGAGTTTTTTTAATATATATTAATGAAGATTTCCTCAAATCTTTACTGCCTGACTGCTAACAAGATTGAACAGAGAGAGATGAACACAACATACACATAAAAAGTTGCAATGTGTTGAGCATATACGTGAAGGATAAACAGAAGCCTACACTGAAGCTGCATCACTTTCTGTTCATAGGACATTACAGTCAATTCAAGGATAAATTGCAGTTATACAGATGCTTTACAATTGCACTTTTATACAGAAGAGTAAAAGCACTTTGCTATTAAATCAATAAAAGTAGACTTAAAAGAGTTGTGAGGCTGTCATCTGATTGTTAACACAGTCCTAATGACCCATAGCAACCCTTAATTACAATAATATCTCACATTATCAGGGCACAATGCCCTCTGATTAAAACTGCAAAGCTTAATGGCTTTTTTTTTTTTTTTTTTTTGGGGGAAATGGTCTGCATTACTGATTATTGTTTTTTTTTTCTTCACAGTAATTGACATGTTTCCAAAGTATGCAGTATTGTTTAGCCATGTTAGTCCCAGGATATTAGAGATACAAGGTGGGTGATGGAATATCTTTTATTGGACCAACTTCTGTTGATGAGAGAGACAAGATTTCCAGTTTACAGACCTCTTGACCTGAAGAAGAGCTCTGTGTAATCTCAAAAGATTGTCCTTCTCACCAACAGGAAATGGTTCAATCAAAGAAGACTTCCAGTGTACAGTACTAGATCAGACTATTGACTCTGATATTTACCTAACACTATTAGAAGTTTGTGTCTGTTAAGTTCTCAAACCAAGGACAATATTTTTTTTTAATATAAGAAGTTGTCAGAGTCAGCTCTTAACTCTCTTTTTGTTCTCCGCTTTGCCGTGGGCTTTGTTTGTTTGCTTGCTTAAATACTTTTTCATCTTTTTTCACTGCTCCAAAAAACACAAAAGGTTGTCTAGATTAGATCCCCTGGTAGTTGCAAGCTGGAAGGTCTAGAGAGTCTAGACAAGGACTTTCAACAAGAAGTCACATTTGGACCCTAGCTGAATATTTCAAAGGTAATACCAGCACAGTCAAACCATGCTAGTTCTAATGAGGCATGGCCAGATTATTTCTAAACAGTCTAACTACACTGCTGTCATTGTTTAAAACTGTTTTAATGTTGCTGACAGCATGATCTTTCCTAATCAATTTTTACCTGCTGTATCCTTAGAAGCCTTATTCTAGGCAGCAGTTCAAGCAAGTTATAGTTACACAATTTTTCTGCCATTAATGTAATCTGTCAATCCTGATATTTAAATGACCCTCATCGACTTACCTGGCTCTCATTAATGACCACGCAATAAAATACCTTGCCATGTTAACTTCAAAACATTTTGCAAAGAGAAAAAAAAGTATTAATCATAATAAAGTCTGAGAAAAGTAAAGTGTCTACACTTCATTACCAAGCTGAGGTGCTTCTAGAGATTGGCTTTCAAGACTGTTTAGCTATAGGACTGGGGTTTTGTTTGTTTTCTTATTTTTCCCTTCCCTGAGAATGAATTTATTTTCTACAAGTTTTGTGATTATCCATTTTGATATGAAAAATGGCAGGGCAGTATGTCTTGTCAGAGGGACTATAAAGTATATGCTGCCCTTTCAAGTCTGTGCTTGGACTTGAGAAGTTATCAATCAAGCAGAAGATTTTTCTTTGCAATGGAAACGGATTAAAGTATCAACGTTTCAATTCACAGAATCAGAAAGCCTCAGTAGCATTAATCCTTCCCCCATCCCCACCCCAAAAAAACCTCCCTGTATCACCAGGGAAGTCAACCACAACATAACCCTGACTCACCTGAACTACATCATTTATTGAAAGCACAGGGGCAAGAACTGATCTTGGGGGGGGGGGAGCCATTTTCTCCGTTTATCAACTTGAAGCCAGAGGATCCAGACCATGAAACACTTACCAGCAATGCATGTACTCTACTCCAAGAAAGAAGGACTAGCTTGTATGTGTATGGATGGGGGGGGGGGGGGGTCAGTATCAAATACTCAAGCACTGCAGAGCTAACCTTACCAGCTGAATACTAATTAAAGAAATAAGCCTTTCTCATTTCCACGTTTGCAAACCTGACGCTGGATTTTGGGTGCAACAAAGAGAGCCACTTGAGTTTTGCATCAATTAATGAAAAAAAGACTTGCTCCTTCCTAAATGTTGCAGAAGTGTTTAATCGTCTCCCTTTTTCTGCGTGACTTACCTGCAGAAACAGGGCGACTGTCTTGCTATTTTCTTTTTGAAATCGTTATTACACTTCTCGATGATTTCTGCTGTCACATCTGGTGTCTGTATTTCTGATGGCTTTTCCAAACCGCACTGATCTCTCTCTCTCTCTCTCTCTGAGCTCAGGCTATTTGCATATAGTCTCTTTCGAAATACACAGACCAGAGAACACAGCGAAAAGGAAACTTCTGAAGGCGAACAACGCCAAGCCACCTCCTGACTCTGCAGATCAGCACCATCTGACTTTGGACTGGGAACAGTTTAGCGAGGGAGAACGAGGGGATAAAATCAGAGCCAAAAATCGTCCCTGCAACTCCTCAGGCTCCCCGCCCCCCGAAAACACCCGCACCCAGTCTGAGCCGGCACTTACCTGCCTCCTCTTCCCCTGGATCGGCCGCTGCAATGAGGCTTTTAATCCAAACGGCTGGGGGTGGCTCGCCGGCGAAGTCCTCGCTGGACGCTCTCAGACATGTGCCCGGGCGGCTGCTAGCTCCGCTGGGGAGAACTTGCGCGGCCAGCCGAGTCTGTCTGCGCTCCGGGCAGCTCCGGCGCGGGGGGCTCCCCGCCCTCCAATCACAGGGCGCCGAGCGCCAGGCAGCGCCGCGGGGGACTCCTCCCGGAGCGCGGTCTCCCGCCTCGGTGCCCCCCTCCAAGCGCCCGCGTTTGACGGAGCGGAGCCCCCTGGTCCGCGGCGCGGAGGCGAGCGCTCCTTCCCCGTGCCAAGCGCGGCTCAGACTGGGCGCGGAGCGGGCGCGGGGGAGACGAGCACGGGGCGGGGGGCGGGGGGCGATGCTCGTGTGGATGGGGGATGTCACCGCTCAGCGGCTGGAGCCTGCCGTCACTTCCATCGGAGGCTGTCCAGAGGAGGCAGTGAGACTTTGCCTCCCTCCCGGAGACCCACTGGTGGCTGCTGGAGAGGAATCCAAAGGCGAAGCCGTCCTCCCCATCCCCACAACCCCCCGCGCCTCCTCCTTGACAGGAGACACAGATGGAGTCCTCTGGATAAAAAGCAGGAGCAGGGCTTACAGGGGGTGGGGCTGGAGCCAGTCTATCTCAGGGTGAGCTCTTTGCATTTGAACGCACGGAGCTGGAGGAGAGAGTTTAAGATTTATTATTATTATTATTATTTATTATTAAGCTTGTCATAGGAGCCGTGGTCAAGTGAGCTCCCGAGGCATGGAAGCAAAGTCAGCAAACTCATCAGAACTTCTGGCTTTAGAGTTTTGCCCTTTCAGTCTCCTCTCAGCCTGGCCCACTTCCACTTCTCTGCGCTCGGAGAAAGCCTCCCCCCTCCTCCCGCGCTCGGCTCTCTGGGGTAAAACTTCGCTCCGGTGTGAGCTGCTCCCCGTGTGAAACGGGCACCTGAGCAAAGGGGGACGCCGTGCAGCCAGCTGCTGCTGCTCGGGCGAGGAGCGGCTTAGGAGACCGTAGGGGGACGCTTAATGGTGTGAAGAGATTCTCTCCTTCAAGGGTCTCTCCTTTGGATGAGGAAGGCGACAGCCTTGTCACAGGGTGGCGGGGTGTTGGGGCTTTGACAGCCTAATTACACCGCGCCGCCAGCGCCTTGGGATCAAAGAACTTATAAATACAGAGGGAATGTTTGGATCAGACTTCGGCTGTCATTGTGATCACATTAGGATCCTAGAACTGTGGCTGCCTTAGCCTATAAAGTGCAACTGCCCCTCCTACCCACCGCAGGTTTCAAAAACCAGAAGGGCTTATCATAAACCACATGGTGGAAATAGAAGATTGAGTAAATGGCAGTGTTTCAGTGCTGAAGCTGTATGCACTGGAAAGAGAAGGAAGACACATTGTCACACGCTCACATGCATATACAATACATACACACACATTCTAAATCTCACAGCTCAGGAGAGAGTTGACAAAAATGTAAGATATTAATCGCTGACTTACTGTATTCGGTTAATCTTTGAAAGCAGAAGTACCACTTTGTTTCATTTCAACATTCTTTAAACATTTTCCTCCTGCAATACAACGGAAAACCATTTAAGTGATATTACCAGGAAATCAGAATGCTTCCTTATATAAATGGCACAGGGTACAAATGATGTAGTAGGTTGATATTTTCCTTAGTTTCAGAATATTTTTAACACCAACTGCTTTTACAACAGTGAATCATATCAAGGGCAACTGTTTGAAATAGGCCTGGGCCAATGTTGTCTTTTGATTTATAGTCTTTTTTTTTCTTGAAAGCCTTCTGGAACTTTCAAAGAGCATAAAAACCTGCCCTTTTTGAAATTAAATGTTGCTCTCTGATAGATCATATTGTGAAGTGTGGCACTACTTATAACAAAATACCTTGAAAGCAGTGTCATTTGCTTATTTTTACAAATAGAGGTCTATTTTAAATTACTGTATTAAATACTGTAAATCTTTGGATTTGTTTGCAGTTTGCAATAACTAAATTACAAACACAAATGTTTTAATAAATGCAAAATGGAACAGTTGCTGTGGCAGTATGTGTGTCTTGTCTTTTAGCTTCATTTTTAGGCATGTGTTTTCTGAAGTCATCCTTCTAGGAGAGATAGGCAATACAGAATCATAGCATTTGTAGGAACTGAGGGAGAAGTGGTTTAAAGATGTAACTAGAAGCAATCTGCATTCTGTAACCTACATAGCACATGAGTACTCAGTCATATTCTAATAGGATGAATTCAAGCAAGAAAACCTGATACATGACTGTACAGAACTACTCAAAACTTGTCCAAGATTGCAAAAAAAGGATATTTTAGTGCATCTTTCATGAATAAGGTAATTAGGGAGGTTGGCACGGATCTAAAAAAACAAGGTTCAAGAACAGAATATTGTTAAGTCACCAAATACAATAAATGCCTGGGCTTTGCGTCCTGTCACTTTTTATGAGATTTAATCAGAATTTTGAATCCTTATATTTTCACACTTAACTTGATAGCCACAACTTCAATGATGAAAATATGTTTTTAAAAGAATCTTTCATTTTTGAACATGGGACAAGGAGGGGAGGTGAAACAGTAGGAGGGAACTAGTATTATAAATTTTAACTGAAAGCAACAAGCTTTGTCCCCTTGAGACTCATAGTGTGGGCTAATTAATTATCTGATGATTTTAAACTATTCATGAAACAAGGGCTATTTCACCTTTATTTTGATTCTGCTATACCGCTGAGGCAGAATACTAATACTCAGTATTAGCCAAGTTAAAAGCTTTCAGTGTCTTAAAAAGTTTAAAGGCACACTGTCAAGTATATCGTGCCAAAAATCTACACTCTAAATCAAAACATGAATTAATAAATGGAAATGGAATAAATGGAATAGTTGTATATTTTAAAAACAAATTATAATGAAAATAGGCATTTTTTTTCTTTTGTGTTATTTTTACATTCCGAAATTGAAATGAAATTTATTTAATCAATTGATTTATATGGGAGCAAATCTGAGCCCAGTGATTCCAAAAACAAAAAAAGAAATTGATTGAACAAACCAGTTTAGTTTCACTGCACAAACTGAATAAAATATAAAACAGTAAATTATTCTTATTCGGTTTTAGAAATCTAAAGTCTTATTAGTAACACAAGCTAATAAAATATATATAAATATTCTTCACTGACCTATTGATGAGTTTTTGACAGAGAGGCAGACTATATCCAATACATTGGCTAGTTGAGTTTGGCTGTCACCTACACTTCTAATGACTTTATCTTTCTTTTTACATGTTTTCTATGGAATTTAGTGATTGTGAGAGTTCTCAGTTTGTCAGAAAAACAGGTGTGGCAGGGGGAGCAGCAACATAAGCTGGATCACCCTATGAATATGCCTTGGCTACATCCTGAAGGAACCACTCCTAGGTGTGAGAAAGTACCTTTATCACTATGTCCTTTTACTTCTTGATATCTCTACTAAGACTGCAAACGGGGATGCCTTTTTTCTTTCATACCAGTGGTAATGGATGATTTTTGTGCTGCAGACATTTGGTCTGAACTGAGATCACGAACTCATTTCACATAGACTCTCAAACAGCTATCAGATGGTAACAACTTTTGGCCATTGCTGCTCACGGCTGGTTCTGAACTGATGATATAGACATAAAAAGTTCTAAACCGCATTACTAATCCCCTAAGCTGTCCGGTCTCCCAACACTGTTATTTATATCCATACTCAAAAGTATGTGCTTTAAGAAGCAATGACTAGATGCTGGTAGCTGTAGCTCAGCGACTGTGGAGGCAAAAATAACAGTCATTATGTGTTCAGCAACAGCTTGCGCAGTGCCTTGGATATTAGAATATATTACACTCAGAGACATAATGTTAACTTTCCCTTACTATTCACGAAAGTAGAAGAGTCTACTGCTTAACATTTCACCTGAAGGATAGCACCTCTAATAACTATACCATATGGTTTGAAAAAAAGCACCAGTACAACTTTAAGTACCTTTAGGAAAGCACTCTTCCTATTGCCCAGAAGTGTTCTGAGAATAAGTTGAGGTGTATGACTTTAATTTATGACCTTCTATCTCAGAAGTGAGATTGTTGTCGATTTCCATATCCACGCTGATATAGTTATAAATCAAATACAGAACCATGCACTGACTGTCTTCAGTCTACAATTATTTCCTTCATTCCCATTTCTCAAAACAGCAAAAAATACCTGTCAAGACATGGCAAAAAGCTTTCTGGTAGCAGAGAATCTAACCTTTATTACTAGTATATTCAGCATAAGGATATTCCTGGCCTTTCTGCACTCCTGCGGCTTCCATTTATTCATTATCTATTAACACTAAGTTTTTTGAGGTAGGGTCTTTGTATTTCTACATGTCTGTAAAGGGCCAGACACTGCTTGGAGCTATTGCATCCATGCATAAATAAATATCTACAGTACATTACACAGATTTGAGATATAAGATATTTTGAAATACATTTTCATAGGCTATTTAGCTCAACATTTTTGGTTTATATTGTAGCACACATCATGACAATTTTCCAACAGACTGCAAGAATATATGAATGGCCCTGCCAAGAGTGACATACAGGCAGCCCCACTGACTTGAGTGGGACTCAACTCAATGTAAGAGGTCTTCTGCATACTTCTTTTTGAGGCTCTGGGGTGAAGTAACTCTTTGTGAGTACTGACTGCATTTAAATATGATATAAACTGTTAAATACCCATATGTTTAGGTATAGTGTCCTTAAATGTCTACAAGACACAAGGGGCTAGATGCACAAAGAAACTTAAGTATGGTGATGCCGAGCATTGCCATGCCTAACTTTTAGGCGAAAAGGTTTAGTTCAGTGCCAGGCTTCCTATCGAATGAATGGGGAGAGATATGTGCATGGCAAATGGGACTGGCAAAAACTGGCACGGTGGCTTCTAAATCAGGCAATGAGACGTGCCAAGCCAAGGGATGTGTGCTCAGTCCTGCCCCTCTCTCAGAGATAGGCACCTAAATCCAGGCTTCAGGGAAGCATCATCCCCTGCTTGGGATTCCCAGCTGCAAACCTTCTCTTGGCAATAGGCACCTATACCATTTTAGCAAGAAGCCAGGGTGGGGAGGAAGGACCTCCCTTGTAACTTTTAGTGGTTAAGGTATTGACCTGGTATGTTTGAGACCCGTGGGGCAAGTCCCCTCTCTGCCTGAGGGGGAGAAGGGATTTGAAATAGGTGTTGCCACCTTTTGTCCATGGGATATTCTGAAAGGTATGTCCCCCAGTTTCTCCTGTTGAAGCTGTTCCACTGAGGTAAATAATTTTAGAAGCCCATTGGAGCAGGGGCACTGGATGCTGCATCTCCCATCTCCTAGGTGAGTGCTCTAACCAACAGTCTACTGAGTCTCTCTCTTGCTCTCACTTCCCTGCCCCCAGTGTTTCTTTCATTATTTATTCAAGGCTCCACCTGTTCGCTTCTCCCATGTCCCCTCCCACTCGTGCCTGAATATGTGTGTAAGGAGGGATAGAAAGTAGCACCCCTGTGGAGCCTGCTCTCCCCACCCCATGCAGGAAGTGGTGGTACAGTGCACTGGTGGTAGGAAGTAAAGGGGACCTTACCCCTT